CTGCTGAATTGTGACGGGTCTATTGTATCAACTGCTTTGATATAGTCTGCAAGCTCGTTTGAGCATGGTCCTCTCCACCCTATCGTTCCTGTGAGTTTTCTTGTAATTGTCCTATTTATAGTTACATCCCCTCTCATAATATTGTAAAACGCTACGGAATCAGTTGGCGCCATATAAATGGCAATAATAATAATAATAATAATATTTGTAGGCACTAAATGAATAATAAAACCATATCAGTGTTGAACACAATGCATTATATTAGTATAAAGCTTATGCAAGTAAGTGAGATTCCTCATTTTTTTTATTTGAAGCTGTTTGTTGTTACGAAAAATGTACATGAATTAAGTAAATCAAAAAGTCCTAAAGCACAACATAAATTTTCAGATCCTGCTGGCTGAAACACTAATCCAGGCTTAGAAAACAGAACGCTTAAGGTTTTGCACTGCAACCAAAGCAGCGTTGCGCCCCGCTGCTCCCATCACACCGCCTCCTGTAAGCAAGAGAAAAACAATCTTGTTTAATTATGAGTCACAGAGTCCGTTTATTTACTGTAATTTCAAAATAATAATTGAAGGCTGAGTCATCGGTGGATTTATCGGTCACACGTAGAAGAAAATGCACAGACTACACTGCAAATTCTTCTAACACGACTGAAATGTCTAAATGATCTACAGTGCGCACGTGCATGTGACATCATAAGTGTGATGTCATTCACGAATATATCCAATGCTTCTCCTATTAATTTTGTACTTAAAGGAACCCTATAGTCACCTAAATTACTTTATCTAAATAAAGCAGTTTTAGTGTATAGATCATTCCCCTGCAATTTCACTGCTCAATTCACTGTCATTTAGGAGTTAAATCACTTTGTTTCTGCAGAGGCATGTTCTATACACCAAAACTGCTTCATTTAGCTAAAGTTGTTCAGGTGACTAGAGTGTCACCTGAACAACTTAAACGAGCTGCAACAATGGAAATAATGTGTACAGAGCAAACATCCATGGTACATGTTTATTTTTTGTGTGTATTTATAATATAGCACTATATAACAAGAGAGTGCCCGCATAATAGATGCCCATAATTAAAAGCAGTTGTATCTGACATGAACAAGGCAATTTTTTTTTTATTTTCACCCTGTCTTCTGGTGTGTTATATAGATATAATTAGTATGCAGTTTACTCTTCACTAGCTTTATAGCCTTGTCGAGTACACTGTATAGGGGGAGCTATAACACATACTTGAAATTGGTATGTAGAAGCAGGTACCATTATAATATAGGCAATTTTTTGTCACATTTCTTTATTATTACTTTATTGCTCATTGGTATATCCTCTATAAAGATGTAGATGAGTAGTTCTTCATTCTGTAGTATTTTAAGAGGATTTGTTTAACGCAGGTACTGTGTCTTTAAGGTGGACACAGCGCCTGTCATTGCCATGGTTACTAATAACATGGCCCATATTTAATATGTAATTATGTGAATTAAGGAGGACAAATACCGATATTATGTGCTGTGTATAGACTATTACAGTGTAATCTGCGATTTGGTGTGTAAAAAGATGTAAAAAGGTGTATTGTTTATGATACTCATTGGGGTATGGAATTGTAACATGTATGTGGTGTACATTTACACTCATTTTGTGTGTATGTACACACGATAAGTTTTTTTTATAATATAGATATTATTAGACAGATCCTTTGTAATAGACCCTTTGTAGGTGGGCACATTTGGATATCTTCACTGGTTTCACAGTAAATTGTCTTTCACTAATATTGCACATCTATTTTGCACATCCAGAGTGGCTCACTTCTGCATGGGCGACTATCATAGGACTGGTAGGTGGCTCACATAAGTATCCTCCTTAGAATATGTTTCTTTTCATTTATGGATCCCCGCACAGGGTGATCATTATATATCACCACGTTTGTTCTGTCTGTTTTTGAGCACAGCCGGCCACACACATTTAGTTTGATACGTTGCTTAGCAACGCCGTCTATCCGACATCACGTTGCTTACGTGATTCCTCTGATGCATTTCCGGGTTTCGGACGGCTGGCGGCTTTCTCTCTCACACACCTGTTGGTAAGTTATCAGTATTATTATTGTGTATATATACTCACTTTGTATACTGTACTATTGATCTTGAAGAAGACCCTGTAAGGGTTGAAACGTCGGTCATCTAAACCTGCACATTTAACCTGCACTAACAAATAAATCAGAATTTTGATGAAGACCTGTGAGTGCTCCTTGTACATATTTTTTGTTATATATATATATATATATATATATATAGCACAAATAATGGCACTCACCCTTCCTGATGTAATGAATAGTAAAGTGCCCTGGTGCAATCTTATGCTGATAAATAATTATATTGAAGAAAAATGCACTATCTGGTCTTTTTAAGAATATTAACGGTCTTTAATATATATTGTATGTATTTGTTATTACAGGACTGTGCTGTATAATTACATAGTTACATAGCTGAAAAGAGACTTGCATCCATCAAGTTCAGCCTTCCTCACATATGTTTTTGCTGTTGATCCAAAAGAAGGCAAAAAACCCAGTCTGAAGCGCTTCCAATTTTGCAACTTTAATGTTTAGAGGTGGAGGAATAAAGACCTGAGACTATTTTTCATAGTTAGTGTTAAGACCTTTGGTTCCAGAGAATGGAAACTCTACAGTATACAATAATATGTTAGATGATTATATACTTCCAGATTTGGGTTTCATTCACTAAATTTAACTATTTTTCCATAAAATCCACAATTCCCTTGCCAAAACTCCCCAATTCACAGTTTAGTGAATAAAAGGATATGATCTGCGTATCTGACAACGATACAATACTAATCTGATAAAACGATAATAATGTCTTTAGAATTTAAAGGAATGTCCAATGCGAGCCCACCTTGCTCCTATCATCTAGAAACTGTTCGCAAACAATAAAATATGGAGTACAAACCTTCAAAAAAATCTTTGACATTAAGCAATAGAACATTAAACAGTAAGCAATATTACAGCCATGTATAGCACACAGCTAATTATTTGTCACTTTGCAAAACCAGCCAAAGAATATGTTGTTTAAAGGCCATTCAGGTTTATAAGCCAAATATACGTGAGGCTGACAAACCGTGGTAACCACAACAAAGTTAAACCATAGGAATGCATTGTGTAAGAGAGGATATGACTAATTAATGTGTAATGTCCTAAAGTGCCTCTTGCTACACTCAGTGGCATTGACAGGTTGTCTGATGAATTCATTAGATCGCTTGGAAACCCTATAGCATGGCTCCTTACTTATGATAACAAGTGAATTAGAACAGCAGAACTTAAACAGGGCCTAAAATAAGGCAGTTTTAGATTTAAGATAATTAGCTGAGTATAATTGAGTTAATCTAAGAATTAGCAATGGAAGCCGAAAGATTAAAAAAACTGACATGTTGATCCACCTGTTTACACTCCCACCATTCGCACACACTGAAAAAAATAAAGAGCTGGTTTTTCACTAAACGCAAAATTTGTAGACACATTCATATTCAACAAATGTTAATTCTAGGAGATTTCTGCTGTGTTGCTATTACACAACAAAACAAAAATCAGCCCACAATAGGTTGGAATGACAAAGGAGTCGATGAGCAAACCCACAAACCCTGTATTCTAGTGGCCTGTGGAAATTGCCCCCGTTACCAGCTCTCCCGTTGTCCACAGGACCTCCATTACCAGGACGCTCTTCCTTTGCACGTGTGGTGAACAAAAGTCAAACATGGGACCTCTTTATCTATTTCCCTGCGCTATTGCATTGTGGCTAACAGACAAAAGTACACATCCCATGGACTTCATGCATCTAGGGAGAGCTTTCACAATAGGCCGCCCCTATACACAGCAAAAACCTCTACAGTGGGCTCCATTTCCACCATTGAATAGTGAATTATTAACTACACACCTGATTGTAAACATACAAAATTTATATCAAATATTTTTGTATATATTAATATTTTAAACTTTTTTTATATTTTTTGTATATTTTGCCTTATTTATTTATTTATTTATTTTTTAAACACTTTATTTTTTCCGTGCTGGGAGAACATAGATACCCATAATGCCAGAACAGCAGAAGTAGTGATAACAGTTAGTAACATATTTATGGCATAGGAAGTAAAAGCACATTTTTGAAAAAGAAATAATGAAATAATCTGAGAAACAATAGTACAAGTGTTTTAACAGTATCATTGCATATCTTACGTTGGTTGGTCACGACTATTTTGTCCTATTCTTATTTTTAACATTAAGTATTAGACACCAAGGAGTTAAATGACTAATGACTTAGTATGTTGATACAATTCCAGGAATGCTGCGCACACGCACACACGTCTTAAAGGACCACTATAGTGCCAGGAAAACATACTAGGTCCCACTCCCGTGGCGCTGAAGGGGGAGGAAGGGGTTAATCCCTTTCCTTTTTTCCAGCTCCAGACTCCCTCGCCTCTTGGACTCTCCTCCCTCTTCTTCCGTCACCGGCTGAATGCACAGGACCTGCGCGCGCATTCAGCCAGTTCATAGGAAAGCATTCTCAATGCTTTCCTATGGACGCTGGCGTCTTCTCACTGTGAAAATCACAGTGAGAAGCGCGGAAGCGCCTCAAGCGGCTGTCAATGAGACAGCCACTAGAGGCTGGATTAACCCATAGGTAAACATAGCAGTATCTCTGAAACTGCTATGTTTACAGCAAAATGGGTTAAACCTAGCTGGACCTGGCACCCAGACCACTTCATTAAGCTGAAGTGGTCTGGGTTCCTATAGTGGTCTTTTAAGTGTTTGAAAATGTTTCAAATCTAAAAAAGTGTTTTTAAAAAAAGTGATAAAAATGCTCAGAAAAATGTAAAACATATACTGGAAGAATGTTTCTGTAAATCGCTAATTATAATTAATATAAACTAAAGCCATTAAGTCATTTTGGAATAGCTCCAGTTCAGAGCTCATTTGTAACAATTTGTAGGTGCTCTAAAATATTGTCCGTGTACACCTGTGAACTGCTTTATTTTTTGAATGTGAAACAAAAAAATTGAATTATTTCTCAGTAAACAACCCCAATAATGCATGATTTACATGGATTCAGATGTGGTTCTAAATATACATAGATTTACTTGGGTTATTGTTTAAACAGATACATTGTATCCACCTTTAGAAACAATTACTGTGTTTACAGAATCACTGCCAGGTTGTTGGGTCCTCTGTCCACCAGGTGATCACCAAGGATACCAGGCAGGGCAGAGGGTGTGTTACTAAATGACAATCTACAATTAATACGAAACACAGTGCTAGCAGACACCATTATCTACTTGAGCCTGAACTCCTACAGGATGAAAAACAAAAGTGCAGCAACATCCCATTAACAAGAGGCCGAAACATGGAAATTGAATAAAATATAGCGCTTCCATGACAGAGATAGACAGTCATTTGTTACGCACAGAGCTCCATAATACGGAGTTACCATACACGGTCAATAAGACCAGAAAGTCACATCTGGGTCACAGTGAGTCCACGGGGGGATTACAAGTGGTTCATAGTACATCTACAATGCGGGCAGTGTATGTGGTTCATAATACATCCATGTGATGTAAGCTTGTTTGAGCGAGTCTTCATCAACCCATTGTTCCTGTAACATTTTGTAAAGGTCTCATTTATTGTTAAATTTCCCCTTTAATAATATTGTAAAGCTCTGTGGAATAAGTTGACGCTATATAAATACCAATAATAATAATAATAATAATAATGATGATGATGGGGGCAGTACATGTGGGACATAGTGTGTCCATGATGGGGGGGGGCAGTAAACATGGGTCATAGTGTGTCCATGATGGGGGGCAGTAAACATGGGTCATAGTGTGTCCATGATGGGGGGCAGTACATGTGGGTCATAGTGGCTATTCACATGATGGGAGTAGTACATGGGTCATAGTGTAATGTATGATGGGGGCAGTACATGTGGGTCATAGTGTGTCCATGATGGGGGTAGTACATGTGGGTCATAGTGTGTCCATGATGGGGGCAGTACATGTGGGTCATAGTGTGTCCATGATGGGGGGCAGTACATGTGGGTCATAGTGTGTCCATGATGGGGGCAGTACATGTGGCTCATAGTGTGTCCATGATGGGGGGCAGTACATGTGGGTCATAGTGTGTCCATGATGGGGGCAGAACATGTGGGATATAGTGTGTCCATGATGGGGGAGGCAGTAAACATGGGTCATAGTGTGTCCATGATGGGGGCAGTACATGTGGGATATAGTGTGTCCATGATGGGGGCAGTACATGTGGGTCATAGTGTGTCCATGATGGGGGCAGTACATGTGGGTTATAGTGTGTCCATGATTGAGGGGGAGGGGCACAGTAAATGTGGATCATAGTGTGCCCATGATGGGGGCAGTACATGTGGGTTATAGTGTGTCCATGACTGGGGGGAGGGGCGCAGTAAATGTGGGTCATAGTGTGTCCATGATGGGGGGGGGGCAGTACATGTGGGTCATAGTGTGTCCATGATGTTGTTCATACTACATCCTTGATGGGGTTCAGTTTCGAAGGTTTCACAGTGCCTCCATGATTAGGGGCAGCCATGATTGGTTCATTGTGCATCCAATATGGGTTCTAGTGTGATAAGGGGGCAGTGATATGCAGGTCACAGTGCTTTTGTGATAGTGGGAAAATCAGATGCAGGTTGATAGTGGCTAACACGCAAGTCATAGCGCTTTAATGATACAGGGGCTTTATGGCATTACATGGCAGGGAGCCATTACTTAGAGTTCATCGTTCACCAAACTGACAAGACCCTCCTTAGTCAGGAGTCAGGACAGATTATTGATCTAAATAACTTAGATCAATTTACTGCTCCCAAGGAGAACAGATGTCCTTTTGCATTGCTGTATTGGTAAATTACCTGTATTCTTTCATTCGGTTAGTTTACCAGCAGTTCCACATCTGGTCATAGTGGGTGTCTGACGTATACCACACTCACTGTAATTGCATTTATTATTTATATATAGAGCTGAGATACTCCACAACACAGCACTGTACATTTAGGATGTGCCAACAAATCAATGATTAACATGTTAAGGGGAACAAAAAGAAGTTGTGAGAAAAACTCTGCTCAAACAAGATTATAATAGAAAGGCTAATTTGCTTTGTGTGTAGTGAGGAACTTGTGCTCTGTTGGTAGCAGTCTGTGTGCAGGGGCGGGCTGGGATGGGGGCAATTGCCCTCCAGCCTGCCCTAAAGCATGTTAGAAATGGCTGCTGGGCCGTCTTTAATGCAGGGCAAAAGGGACAGCTGCCCCGGGCCCTGTTCTTCCTGGGGGACCCAAGGCAGCTGCCTCTTGAGTCCCGCTGGCCGTGCCTGCAGATTGTGTGTCACATGTATGACACACTTTGTACACAGCACTGAACTTTCCCTGTAGGTTAAAATCTTCTAGTCTTCCACGCTCACCCTCTCTGTATCAACCAACGTTTAAAAAGAACATACAGCATATCTTTTAATAAAAGAAAATGAGCAACGATAAAAATAGAAGCAGCAACGGCCTAATTTAATTCCAGATGGATTTGGAAGGTTAAGTCAATTACAATAACCTCCTTGTCACATTTTGTTTCTTGTCTCCAATGTAACCTACATGATGTATAAAGGGTTTACCATGCATAAACTGCCAACGTGTCCAGAGAACTGACATTTTCTTTTTCTTTCCACCTGGTATCACTGGGATTAGTAGGCAGCAGAGGTAAGTAAAAAAAAAAAAAATACTTACCTCAATGGCAGTTCTGCTTTCTCAATGACTCCCAGGAATAGAGTTACCCTAACACGCAAATCTAAAGGAAACAGTAAAGGTACATGTACCAGTCCTTAGAGTGGCCGGGTTTGTGCCTGAGACAGAGATTAAATGAGAGACAGCAGGCCAAGATCAGGATAACAGAAATACATGGAATCGATAGCCAGGCCAAGATCAGGATAACAGAGAGCAAGAATAGTCAAACAATGCGGGGTCAGAAAACAGTAACTCCATTACACTGTATAAACACACTCTCTGGTAACAAAAACCACGACAGGGCAAAGAAACAAGGACAACCAGGAAGAATATATACCCTCTACCGGGTTGTGATTAGTCGCACAGGACCATGATGTCACAAGTGTGTACACATCATCAAAAAGCCGCACATGGGCTGACACTATAAAAGGAAACTAATGGTAGGGGTCCAAAGTCATATATGATGTCATAATGAGGCACCAGGAAGCTAGGGATGAGTGTGTGTGCGCATCAGAACTCAGAGAATACATCATTTCTGCAATCGCACGGCCCTGTGAGGGACAGGTATCGTGACAGTTACAAAATTGTTCCACGATGCCTCGCTTTTAGCAAGCTGTGCCTGGTGTGCCCGCTACATCAACAAATTAATCTAAAATAATGTACAAAAATAGCACTATCAATAGCTAACTTTTAGTTCACTATTCGATTGTGATACAATTTCCGAAGTGGCAGTGTCTCTTTAATTGAGGATTACGTAAGCTTTGCATGGAATGCGAGGGGGCTCAATCACTAAAGATAATTTTAGTTGGGAACAAAATAGGGGACAAAACAACAAAGGATCAGATAGAGCTGTCCACTGGGAAATGCCAACAGGAGAACGTTGAGATTGCAGAGCACTCTACCAACCCCAAACCTGTACAGTGCTTAGCTAGCAACAGTCCATCACAATTCCTCATGTCTGCAGTGCTGTGCCAACAGACACCCAACATACCTGCCCGAAGTGTATATAGGAAAATAATGGTACTGTCAGTCTTTATTACACATAGACACGATAAGAATTTATAACATTCTAGTCCTTATTGGACTTAAAAAAATAAAAGAAAGAAAGAAAAGATAAATATGTAGAAAAATGTTTGATTCATTTAACATACAGTATATTCCTAAATGTGGATGTAATGTTTGGACTAATAAGACAATCCTTATTATAACTTTTCAGCGTGTAATTTTTTATTGGAGTTATAATATATACAAATGATAGAAAAATATAGACTTTATTTATAAAACCACAATTCATAAGAGTTAAATATGTAAAAAGCTTTTTATGCCCAAAGAATAACGAAAAAAAACATTACACATAAAATACAATTATGGACCACAAAATACAAATAAATGTATCCTATTTTCCACAACTCAGTACTGAAAATATTAATTTATCCTTGATATACACAAATGTATAATTTTAACTCAGAGGAATAAATATTTAGCGCTTAGCTCCTGCAATTGTTTTCAACAGAAACAAGAAATGGGAATAAATGATTGTATCTAGGCGATCATTCTCAAAAGAAAAAAAAAGATATTGCAGCCTAATGTACAACAAAAGAAATATGACATTATGAAGAACAAATGAATAGCACACAGAGCAAATAATGGTTACACGGCATCCAGCCATCAGTAGAGTCCTGTCCTAAGGGAACCACAAATCCCCTCTCCAAAGCTCCCAAAATCTATCATTTTTTATAGAAATTGTCAGTCCAGCACAGATAAAGCAATGCTATATTCCAGCCACCTGACCCTTAATAATGCATCACATGATCATCATGTGATTATAATGGAAAGTGTGTAATTGTCGTATTGATGTGCACTAGGCCGCTCTAATGGGAATACCGGTTTCTACTTTCGAATGTTGTGAGACATCAATGGTAATTCTTAGTTTACGGTGGGATTTAAATTTAAAAAAAATCTCAAATTGAATTAGAGACAATTTGTTGATACCTATTAGTAACATAACTGTTTGTAGGTACATCCTCCACCTTTAATGTAGAAAGAGGAATACCTGTTTTGAGATACTACTCAAGGATCAAAAGTAGATATCAGGGTAATAGCAACGTTAATCAAAGGCCGTAAAAAGGCAACTGGGGTAAACGCAATATACTCAAAGACAGTAAGAAGGCACCTGCAATAAATGCAATAGAGCTCAAAGACCATACATTTATATGTTGAGTAACAACTCAAGAAGCAGATTCCCCAGCTAAAGGTTATATAGCTCAGTAAGCAGGTACCTGGAATAAAATATATTTAACTCATTAAGCAGTTACCCAGGGTAAAGGTTATATAACTCAATAAGCAGATACGTGGGGAAAAAGCATCTATAACTCAATAAGCAGATATATGGGGGAAAAGGTTCTATAATTTAATGACTATAAGCAGGTAATTAGGGTAAAGGTTCTATAACTCAATGATGATAAGCAGATAATTGGTGTAAAGATTCTTTAACTCAACGACTATAGACAGATAATTTGGGTAAAGGTTCTAAAACTCAATAACTATAAGTAGGTAATTGGGGTAAAGGTTCTAAAACTCAATGACTATAATCAGATAATTGGGATAAAGGTTCTATAACGTAATAACTATAATCAGATAATTAGGGGAAAGGTTCTATAACCCCAGGACTATAAGCACTAAGCAGGTAACTGGTGTAAAGATTCTATAACACAATGACTATAGGCAGATATTTGGAGGGTAAAGGTTCAATACCTCAATGACTATAAGTAGGTAATTGGGGTAAAGGTTCTGTAACTCAATGACTCAAATCAGATAATTGAGGAAGGGTTCTATAACTCATGATTATAAGCAGATAATTGGAGTAAAGATTCTATAACTCAAAGACTATAGGTAGATAATTGGGGTAAAAGTTCAATACCTCAATGACTATAAGCAGGTAATTGGGGAAAAGGTTCTATAACTCAGTGACTATAGTCAAATAATTGGGGTAAAGGTTCTATAACTCAGTGACTATAGTCAAATAATTGGGGTAAAGGTTCTATAACTTGATGATGATGGTGATGATGATAAGCAGATACCTGGGGTATATGTTCTATAACTCAGTGACTATAAGCAGGTGATTGGGGTAAAGGTTCTATAACTCAATGATGATGATGATGATAAGCAGATACCTGTGGTAAAGGTAACTCATTAAAAATGTATTATCTTGTTTTTCCATTTTCCATAATGCTTGCTCCATTGCTGTACTGCCCCGTGTGGTTTTAATGGGGCAGGGGAGGGGGAGGTGGGTTTTGCTCCGTGGGAATAATGCAATTTATTTAACCATATGCATGACCCTCCCATACATGGTGTATGAAAACAATAATAAGGCAATGCATGACAATATAAAGGATATGATTTTCCCTTCTCACGTTCATGACATTCGGTTTGAGCTGAATCAGTTTATTAATAATAGGTTTATTTATGCAAAAACAATGTATTCAATTCCCTTACAATGTGTAGAAACTGCAATACATATATAACTGTAACATTGCATTGTGGACATACCTGGATGTGCTCCACTACCGCACAAATAAAGGCCTCTGATTGGTGAACTATAATTAGAAAAGTGTGGTATGGGTCTTCCAAAGTACAACTGATCCAATGACATACTTCCATGAAAAATATTCTGTAAAGAATATAACAAGTATAAATTAGTATATAGACAAGAAAAAGGTATACTGAATCTGATACTTAAAGGGACATTCAAGGCACCCAGACCACTTCGGCCCATTGGAGTGGTCTGGGTGCCAACCCCCATCACCCTTAACCCTGCAAGTTTTTGAAAAAGTGTTTGAAACAACACTGGACGTCCTCACGCTACGCATGAGGACCTCAAGCGTCGCCAGAATCCCCATAGGAAAGCATTGGGGAGGTCTAATGTGCGTGGCCATTGCATTGCATTAGGTCTCCCCCGCCGGTTGATGTCGGCGGGGTAGGAGCGTGGGCTGAGCCTGACCCAGCGCTGACATCGGCGCTGGATTCAGGTAAGTTACTGAATGGGTTTTAACGTGGGATGGGGTTTGGAGGGAGGTGGGCACTGCAAGATTCTGCAGTGCCAGGAAAACGGATTTGTTTTCCTGGCACTGTAGAGTCCCTTTAAACAGCAGACGACAGTAATGTCGTCTAAACTACTGCAGCAACTTAATCTTGCAATTATTATGTAGAAAAAAGTATCCATTAAAAAAAAATATATGTAAAGGTCACAGAACCTACACTCCTGGTACTGCCTATTGCTGGTTGACACAAAATACACAGGAATCAAAAAAAGACCGCTCACCAAGGACTAAGTATGAGTTAAAAATAAAACGTAACTTTTATTCCATAGTATCCATTTTAAGAGTCAACGCTTCACTTTTTCTCCAAAATCTGATGAAAGTTTTGGAGAGAAACTGAAATGCCGACTTTTTAAATGGATACTATGGAATAAAAGTTACGTTTTATTTTTAACTGATACTTAGTCCTTGGTGAGCGGTCTTTTTTTGATTACTGTAAATTTTGTGTCAACCAGCAATAGGCATATTCCTCATATAAGGAGACCACGTACAAATATGATAGTATTTAGCACAAGGATGCAGCCAGTAGTAGAATCAGGCTATCAGTATGAGTAAGATATGTAGTATGAGCTTCTATAATATAAAATAAGTAAGAAATCCAGAAAATAAAGACTAGCTAGTATTTCCTTTAACCCCTTAAGGACTGGACTGTTTTTGCGATGTTGTACATTTGCGACCAGGCATATTTTTACACTTTTGTGGTGTTTGTGTTTGGCTGTAATTTTCCGCTTTCTCATTTACTGTTCCCATACAAATTATATATTGTTTTTTTCAGGACAAAAGGGCTTTCTTTACATACCATTATTTATATAATCTCATGTATTTTAATTTAAAAAAAATAAAAAATATGATGAAAAATTGAAAAAAATACATGTTTTTTGACTTTTACTTGAAAAATCTTTTACTCATCTACAAAAGCGAATGAAAAAAACTGCTAAATAGATTCAAAATTTTGTCCTGAATTTAAAAATACCCCGTGTTTACGTGCTTTTTTGCTTTTTTTTGCATGTTATAGGGCTATAGGTACAAGTAGGATATTGCGGTTTCAAAACATACATTTTTAAAATTTATCAATAGTGACATTGTAACACTATTATCTGTCATAAATCTCTGAATAACACCCCACATGTACATATTTTTTTAAAAGTAGACACAACCCAGGGTATTCAATATGGGGTATGTCCAGTCTTTTTTAGTAGCCACTTAGTCGAAAACACTGGCCAAAGTAAGCATTCATATTTGTTTGTGTGTGAAAAAAGTAAAAAAACTAAATTGAACGCTAATTTTGGCCAGTGTTTGTGACCAAGTGGTTACTAAAAAAGACTGGACATACCCCATTTGCAATACCTTGGGTTGTCTTCTTTTGCAAATGGTATGCCACCATGGGGGTAATTCTCATTCCTGGGCTACCATACGCTCTCAAAGGCAACGTAGCCAACCTGGCCATTTTCAATGTAAAAATATTTGACCCATATATTTGACCTTGTAACTTTCAAAAATGCTATAAAACCTGTACATGGGGGGTACTGTTTTACTCGGGAGACATCGCTGAACACAAATATTAGTGTTTAAAAACTGGAAAACGTATCACAACAATTATATCATCAGTCAAAGTGCTGTTTGTGTGTAAAAAATGCAAAAAAAGTAACTTTCACTGACAATATCATCGCTGTGACATGTTTTACTGTTTTGAATCACTAATATTTGTGTTCAGCGAAGTCTCCCGAGTAAAACAGTACCCCCCATGTGCAGGTTTTAGGGTGTCGTAGAACGTTACAGGGTAAAATACAGTGCTAGCAAATTAAATTCTCTGGAATTTCGGCCTGGGTTGGCAGGCAGGTCCCTCAAATTCCAATCAATAAAATTACTGAATTATGTAAAAATATTACATAAATACACACGTAGAATTTAAATATATATGCATATTTATATATTTGAAGTCTACGTGTATATTTATATAATTATTTATTTAATTTTGTATATGGACGTATGTATATTTCTTATTATTTTTATTTATTTTTATATACATAGATATATATACAAATTCATTCTAAGTGTATTTTGATATAAATATATATATATATTAATTTTAAAATACAGTTAGAATAAAATTTCATATAGCTATATAATTTTTTAAATTTTTTTTATTATTATTTAAAAAAAAATTAAATTTACTTATTATTTATATTTTATAATATATATATATATATATATATATATATATATATATATACAATATATATAGTTATTATATATATTATATATATATACGTGTGTAATTTAATTATAAGTGTATTTTTATATTAATATAAGTACATATTAATATAAAAATACACTTAGTATGGCATTATATAGATGATATATAGACATATATTATATAGATATAATATATGTCTATATATCATATATACACATATATAATTATTTTTATTTTTTTATTAACATTAACTTTATTTATTTTTTTATTTTACACTAGCAGGGAGACTGCCTGTCAGCACAGGCAGTCCCCCTGCAGGCAGACACTAGGACACCTATTGTGACCATGTGATCGCTGTGTTAAGCGATCACATGGCCACAGGGGTCCTAATCTGCCGTGGGGAGACTGTCTGGGCTGCAGGCAGTCTCCCCACAACCGGAGCCACGCTGATCGCCGCCGGGGGAACGACGGCGATCAGGTAAGTAACGGAGACCGTTAGGACGGTTCAGGACCGTCATCGGTCGGCAACGCAAAAATGCTGATGACGGTCCTGAACCGTCCTCGGTCCTTAAGGGGTTAAGCATCTCCACATTCTGCATTCAGATGCTGAATGCTCCCAATAGAGATGAATTAGATTCAATGCATCTCTATGAGGAAATGCTGATTGGTGCAACACAACATTTTCCTGCACATGCACAATATTTTTCATGCAATACAAATTGATTTATAATCCTTCAGAGTACCATTGATTACTGTTGTGGTTACAACTTGGAGATACGACTTAAACCTTTTTATACGTACACCAATGCCATGGGAATTTTTAAGCTGCCCTATTTAGATGATACGGCTATCTGTACCACTCTCACCATTGTATACCATTCCGCTTCCCATCTTTGACGTATATTGTTTTGTTGTTTCTTATAACTGCTTAGTGATCCTGTAATTTTATTATGATTGTAAGTGATTTCTCTTTCATGCCACTTATAACCAAGTATTGAGTGGTATTTAGATAGAGCTTGGTTCCCCATGATTCGTAGCTAGATTAATTTAGCTGTCTATAAGAAGATAAGAATGTGTTTGTTTGTTGCTATTTATTTTATTTTTGTTCAAAGAATCTTGCAAAGTACAAAATTAGAAACTATATATAAAAATACTGAGTCATACAAAAGATTATATAAAGATGATCTGACTACATTGCATGCTATTTAAAGATTTAAAGGGACACTTGTAATTTGAGGTGAACATACTAATAAGCGATAAGGGTGTTACAATTGTTTAGTATAGACTTATATGTGGCATATAATAAGTAGATAATTTTTCATGCAGAAGCAAAGAACAGAACATAAATAAAATAAAAATAAAGTCATTAGCATCAAAATGGTGCAAGAGGATGCATGTGACATTGTGAAAGCATGAATCAAGAAACATAATACTTATGCACGAGGAGAGCAGTAGCCGCCTCCATCAAATAGTTGTATCTTAATAACTCAAAAGTCTGAGTATCCTCCTAGAAAGGGCAATTCCCACGTCCTTTCATTGTATCTGTCCTGGATATCCAATTTATATTAAGACTCCTCCGTTCCTCCATCCCTATGTTCATCATCCCCATTTGTGATTGCATTCGTAAGTACTCAATCCATGGATGCCATATTTTCTTCTACTAATGATAAAAGCCCCCAAAAAGCAAAAGTAAATATAGTATTTGCTTGAGATATGATAGTCGGCAAAATATGAAAGAGAAGTGCTCATGGGAAATATGGCACCAGCATCCCAATCACCTCAGATGTGATGTCGCCCACTAATTATTAGAATCCCCATATCCCAGCACGGCTCTACCATATGTGACTCATCATCCATTCTTTCCTCCCAGAGTTTGTGAGGGAATGAACATATGCAAATCATAGGGTGTTAAAAACCATTTAGATACTAGCATATAATTGACTTCCTGAAGTGGATATATCAAATATAAGTGAGAAAGCTCTCTTCCCGTGCTCATCAGAAAAAGATAGAGGAAGTTGTTTATTCCATATCTGGGTGAAGTACGGCAATCAACTGTGGAAGAGTTATTTGTAGTAGTTGTAACAAAAAGAAGTTTTTTGGGGGGTGTATTTGTGTGGTTAGTCAAAACTTTTCAAATAAGGTTGCTTGTCTGGAGGAATAGCTCCAGTGAGGCAAAGATTTAAGGAAGTCCCTGATTTAAAGATATTGAAAAGTCTGTAGGACTCTTAGGAGTCAGACCCTTATAACTCTTTGAAGTTGAGTGAGGGGACCTATTGTCTCCTCACCTGCTCCCACGCATGCAGGTGCTTTGGTTCCCTAATTAATGATAAAATAGTGGGTTGGACATGTCATTGTCCACCCCCAATAATAAGTCCCCTTCAGGTGGCAAGGAGTTCTCAGTCTCCAGCAACCCCATAAAATAAAGTCTTTACCTACCCCTGCCCTG